CAAAGATAAATACACATTATATTTTGTTACCCATTTTTTAAATGGCTCATTCCTTATAGAACACTTTTCCTGTCATTCAGTGAACTCCTGACTATCCTTTGGGATAGTTTGAGTAATTAAAACAGCAGCGTTTAATTTCGAGTCTATTTTTGTTGGTGTTATTATTAGTACCTTCTGCAGAGAGAAATATCTGCCTGAAAGGATAGGCACCCCCCAGGTGACAAGAGCTGACATGACATTTAACAGTCATGACAAAGATGAAGAAAGTCTCTCTGGAAAGGAACTTCCGGATGCTGACACCTGACTCCCTTAGCTTTTGTTTGATTCCCTTTTCTGCTGACGTGTACTTCCTGATTACTCAGCTGACCATTCCTCATCTATTTGTCATCAAAGTGAGTGGATCATAGCAGGAGTTCATTAATATCAGTCCATTCCCTTCCCATCCATTTGGACCAGTGTGCTTGTGCAAAGGCCAGAAGTATGAAACAGAATGGCAAGTGCCAGTCATACAGGATGTTAAGTGGGGGAAGCAATTGGGAGGTGGGGGGCTGGGAGAAGGCACCAGACCCCTGCTTCCAATCTTTAGGTCCATCTATGTCTTTGATAAGTCGCAGGACCAGAGCATGCCCTCTGCCATGCCATCCACCATAACACCTGTCCACTCAAAGGTAGGGCACCCATCAGTCCGTCAGTCCATCTTCTCCCAGCCTGCGTCTGTCTGGGGCTAGTCAGAAGATGCTTTAGAACTACTTCTTTCCCTGAATCCACTTTGCCACAGCACTACAATTGCTTGCTTTTTCCAAACTAACTGAAAATTAGAAAGTGTGCGCAAAATGAAACATAAGAACAGAGACAAAGCACTTCAGAAAATGTATGGCATCAGTCTAAGAAGTCCTCCACTTAACTGGATTCCAACACGTTGGTTATTCTTTGTTCTCCCAGTTCATACTCTGCTTGTCAATGTTCAAGACATCAGAGAACAGTTAACATCGCCAATAGCAGGACAAACTGACAGTGTGAGTTTCCCGATGGAATGCACCAGGAAGGATGCACTTCTGTGCTAGTCTTGCCAAAAATGTACAACATGAATCTAATCACGAGAAAATATAACACAGCGGCCGGCCCTGTGGCCGGGTGGCTAAGTTCACATGCTCTGATTCAGCAGCCCAGGGTTTTACCGGTTCAAATCCTGGGCGCGGACATGGCACTGCTCATCGGGTCATGTTGAGGTGGCATCCTACATAATACAACCAGAGGCACTCACAACTAGGATATACAACTATGTACTGGGTGACTTTGGCGAGAAGAAGAAAAAAAAGTTTGGCAACAGATGTTAGTGCAGGTGCCAATCTTAAAAAAAAAAAAAGAAAACATAACACAAACCCAAATTGAGAGACATTCTCCAAAACTACTGGTCTATATTCTTTTAAAAAATGGCAAGGTCATGAAAGATAAGCAAAGGCTGAAGAATTGTTCCAGATTAATGGAGACCACAGAATCATCTCAAGGACATTATTGAGACAAGTGGCAAAATTTGAACATGGATTATATATTAGATAATAACAAGGTATCAAGGTTAAATTTCCTGAATTTTTATCATTGAACTATTATTTTATGAGACTGTCCTTGTTCTTAGGAGATATGTTAAAGTATTTTGAAGGAAAGTGACCAAATAGCTTAGGGAAAAAACAACAGAGAGAGAGAAAGGGAGTTTTCAAGCAAATGTGGCAAAATGTGAAAAATTGGGATAAAAAGAATGTGAGAGGTCTTTGCACTACTTTTGTAACTCCTCTGTAAGTCTGGAAGCACTTATAAAAAAGATAAAACTGAAAAATAGAAGAACATTCAAGGATCAGGGCTTCTGCTTCGATCTTTTGATTGATTTTTCATGCGAGCAAGAAAGGCAGAGAGTTTCCTGTAGGTCTTGTATCAGTTGCGTTTTTAAGTTGACTAGGAACACTGGTCATCGGGGATTAGAGTCTCTGTCTATGTGGACCTAGCAAGGTTACTCTCTTATAGAAAGAAGGCATTGATTCACCTCTTAGCTTCTCCTAATTGATCCCGAAGGACTCTGCCCGTTCAGTCCGAGGGAGGCTGCTCCGCGTTCACAGATGATGATAATTGATGAGTAGTAAGTGCTTATGTGTGAAGTGCTGTGTCAACCTTTTAACAGTATTAAGGCATTTAATTCTCATAACAATCCTATGAAATATGTTCTATTATGATGCCTACGTTTACAAAGGAAGAAACTGAGGCATAGAAAGGGTAAATACATGTCACAAGGTCACAAGACTATTCTGTGGAGGAGCCAGAAGATGAACCAGGTGGTAGAGAAGGCTTTGCCGTTCCTTAGGACACGGTTCCACCTGCTCTGCAATTGTGTAGAACTCACGAATGACTTACAAAATAAACTGTAAACTTACCACTGTGGCATTTGGACATCTTTGTCCCCCTACACTTGAGTCATGCTCTGTCCGTGCTCAGGGCTGCGCCTGTTTTCAGTGCATTCACATTTCTATCACTTTGAGGTCTGGGCTCGGCCCAGCAGTGGGAGGGGTAGATTGGGAGGCCCAGGATCTGGACTGGATCTGTCAGCTGGAGTGTGGCAGGCGCTTGAGGAACGAGCAGCAGCAGGTAGCAGGACAGCACCTGGTCTGACTAAGAGAAGACAGTCTCCGGGAAGAGCAGAGCAATGGCTCAGGTTATAGACAAGGTTACAGTGAGTCTTGAAGGACTAACATGATGTCGCAGGATGCCCTGCGAGGCAGGCGGAGCCCTACTGTAATAGAAATCCAGGGAATTAGCATCAGATAAGCATCAGCTGGTTGCAGGGCACCAATCACTAGACTGTGCCTCTTGGGCAGACTCTGGTCTTGGGGGTAGGACAGTGCCAGCGGGAAGAAGGCAAATGCCCAGGTTTGCATGGAGAGGGAGCCAGGCAGACGTAAGCACATCAGAGACCACGTCAAACCTGTCATCAGAACCAGCTCACAGGCTCCTGTAGCCTAGAAGAAAGAGTGGGTTGGGAGTAATCCTGGAATGTTGATCTTCAAGGTCAAATGCCCCTCTACAAGGTCAGGGGTTGGTCTACCAAAGTTCCAGGTCACACATGGCAAAAGCCCTAAACCCAGGGAAGTGGCTTCAATCTGGGCTCTCCACAGTCAGGAAGAGGGCCTTCATTCATGTGGCAAACATCTTCTGGGCACTCAGATGTGTCAGGCGCTGAGTCACAATGGAGAATAGTCCCCGTCCTCAAGGAGCCCTGAGAAACAAGCCTCCTTTGACCGACTGTTGGTGAGCAACCACTGAAGCAGGATTCTTTACAGCACCTCTGGCACAATCCTCACAGACTGGAGACCAGCCTCCACGTGGGACCTGCCGACACGCTTCGTTATGCTCTGCACAGCAAAGCACATACGCAGTAAAGTGCGCAAGTCTTGAGGAAACATCTTGATGGCTTTATAAACCCATCAACACAGTGTTTTAAAAGGTGAGTCATCACAATGTCAACCCTGAATATAGAGAGGAGGAAAGGTGAGTTTGGGAGGCAGAATGATAGCCCCGTAAAGATGTCCACATCCTGATCCAGAACCTGTGAATAAATATATAAACCTTATGCGGCGAAAGGGACTTTGTAGATGTGATTAAGTTGAGGACCTTGAGATGGGGATTGATCTGGATTATCTAGTCAGGCCTGATCTAATCACGTGGTCTTTAAAATCAGAGCATCTTTCTCAACTGAGGTCATAGTCACAGGGAGAGGTGACTACAGAAGAACCCTTAGAGAGATGCCACAGTGTTGGCTATAAAGATGGAGGGAGGGCCGCGAGCCCCGGAAGTCTAGCAGCCTCTAGGAGCTGGAGAAGGCGAGGAAGCAGATTCTGCCCCAGAGACTCCACAATGGCCCCAGCCCTGCTGAGACCCTGACTTCAGCCCAGTCGGACTTTCGTCAAACTGCTGACCTACTGTCAGGCAATACATTTTTATCGTTTTAAACCGCTAAGTTTGTGGTCATTTGTTACAGTAGCAATAGGAATCTAATACAGTGGGAGATGGTGCCACATTTTTATGAAGCTAAAAAGATTGGATACTGGGGCCAGCCCCGTGGCGCAGCGATTAAGTGTGCACGTTCCGCTTCGGTGGCCCAGGGTTTCCCGGTTCGGATCCTGGGTGCAGACATGGCACTGCTTGGCACGCCATGCTGTGGTAGGCGTCCCACATATAAAGTAGAGGAAGATAGGCACGGATGTTAGCTCAGGGCCAGTCTTCCTCAGCAAAAAGAGGAGGATTGGCAGCAGATGTTAGCTCAGGGCTAATCTTCCTCAAAAAAAAAAAAGGAAAAAAGAAAAAAAGAAATGTAAATAATAATAAAGAAATATAAAAAATAATAACAAACAAACAAACAAAAAGAAAAGACCTCTTTACCACTCCCCAACTTTCTTACCTAACAGAGGCCTTCCAAGCCCACAAACGTAAACTTGGTATTTATTAAACATCTAACTCACCTGTAAGATAATTATCAGACAAATATGATAGAAGGTTGCATTATCATCATCGTCATCTTTCTTGGTATTTTTATTAAGCCATTTTATTTTGCATTTTAAGAGAAATGATTACTAACAAAACATTTTTATTGAATTTTGTCCGTGGTTGAGCTTTGAGATGTTTTTAAATGGGCCAAAATTTTGACTTTCAGATTTTAGAAATGTGAGGGCTTTATAGATGCAACATCTAATTACTGAGGGGGAACAAAATTTAAAAACTGTGTAAAATCGAAAGGACCAGCCTAGGGCCGGCCCAGTGGCGCAGCGGTTAAGTGCGCATGTTCTGCTTCTCGGCGGGCCCGGGGTTCGCTGGTTAGGATCCCGGTGTGGACATGGCACTGCTTGGCACGCCATGCTGTGGTAGGCGTCCCACATATAAAGTAGAGGAAGATGGGCACGGATGTTAGCTGAGGGCCAGTCTTCCTCAGCAAAAAGAGGAGGAGTGGCAGTAGTTAGCTCAGGACTAATCATCCTCAAAAAAAAAAAACAAAAAAAAGGACCCGGCTGTGAGCCAGATAATGGCTCATTTGTGCTCCTCTCACCTGTCTGCTTTCATCTGGCGTGTTAGAGCTGGCAACAGCTCACAGGTAATAAACAGCTTCCTGACTTAACTCCATTCACATGTTAACGAATATTTATGAAGCACCTATTACGTGGTAGCATTCAGAAGAAGCCAGTCACATATGAGGAGGAAAGTGGATAAACATCAAACTTGCTAAGAGACCAGATCTTAATTATTCCCACCACAAAAAAGGAATGATCATTCTGTGATGGGCCAGAAGGACCAGCTAACGCTACAATGGCAATCATACGGCAGTTTATTAATGTATCAACTCAACACGATGCGCATCTTAAACTTACACAATGTTATGTGTCAAATATATTTCAATTCAAAAATACAGAAAAAAAAAGAAAGTGGTACATTTGTTCATAAGATGGATCGAGAACTGGAACTGAAGAATCAGAGAGGACAGCTCTTCCAAATCCACTGACAGGAGAAAGAGAATAGAAAAATCTTATTAGGACATTGGAGTCAAAGAGTTTATGTCAACTGAAACAGACAACCCTAGGGCAGAATAAGGAAACCGAGTTAAGACAATGAATTCGGAGCCAAATCTGTTTAAAAGAGGAGCTCTGTGGAGAGCCCACTGTGTAACAGCTGAGAAACAAAAGGTGGATGACAACAGAGAAGGAAAAGAGGGCGGATCCACGTTCCCGCCTCCCTGGGTAAACCCCACTCTCAATGCCCGATTTAGAGAGGAGGAGGGAAATGCTGTTTTCCTGGGCCCCCAGTTTTGTATTATTTGAAACCTTTCTTTTTCAAACAATCTAATCTAATGGATTAGGTCACTGATTCAAGAGGCAAATTCATTGACGTTCGTGGTTAGTTAATGGACTCATGTGCGCTAATATTTGTTGGCGGTTACCTAACTTTTCCACCGCTCGGTAAGCCTTTCTTCATGAGCGGTATGGATTTAAGTCTTGTTGTTTTTAAAAAGGCAGATTTGTTTTTTAGTTCAGTTTTTGCAAGAGGTATTATAGTCGTATCATTTGGCAATTTTCCTAAGAGAAGAGAATCTTGAAGAATTTCAAAGCCAACTGTGTTTTTCAGTAAGCTCACATACCAAGGAAGCTGGGAAAGAAGCTTGGAAAAAATGAGATGCAAAGTGAGGGTTGGCACAGAATTTGAATGATGATTAGCAGGGCGGACACCTCATTCCAAAGCATCCAGTTGCACATAGCATTTGCTCAGCAATTTACCAAGAGGACAAAGGTGGCCTCCTCTGCTGTTTGTTGGTGAAAGTTTGCTAGACTTATCTTTGAACGGTGACTGGTAAGTCTGTCTGGCATTATTATTACTATTATCATTACTATTACTTTTATGACAATAGTAACAAGCATGATTTTTTTGACCTCCGATTATGTGTTGTGCAGAATGTAGACTAAGATGCATAGAAGAGACATTTCAGTAAATTCATTTTTCAAGATTTTGACTCATAAAATACAAAATAATATTGGTCAAGCAAAAGCCCATTGGTCAAGATATAGAAAGATAACCTGTGGCAATTACTTCAGAAGTCTAAAAGGGAATCTGATTGTCTTCTGTAAGAGACAGGTTGCCAAAAAGCGACAATGAGGGGCCGGCCCAGTGGCGCAGTGGTTAAGTTCACATATTCCGCTTCTCGGCGGCCTGGGGTTTGCCAGTTCGGATCCTGGGTGTGGACATGGCACTGCTTGGCAAAAGCCATGCTGTGGTAGGCGTCCCACATATAAAGTGGAAGAAGATGGGCATGGATGTTAGCTCAGGGCCAGTCTTCCTTAGCGAAAAAGAGGAGGATTGGCGGTAGTTAGCTCAGGGCTAATCTTCATCAAAAAAAAAAAAAGTAAACAATGAGTATGTTCTCACTTCCCAGAAAGTCCCGCATGCAACCTCTCTGGCAGGATATTGAAGGGAAGTAAAAGATGAGAGGGATGAGAAGAAACTTAGAACCTGAGCAAACCACCAAACCGTCCCAAGTACAGGCAGTTGGGACATGAAAATTCCACTGCTAGTTGATCATTTTTAAGAGTAATTGTCTTTCCTTTTTTTTCTTATCTTTTTTTCAAAGTCAGTTATTAACTTTTCTCATGAAAAAAGTCCCTGGAATGTAAAAATTTATTCCGAGCAACAGCACACACCAAACCTCCCTCACCGCTGCCCGCTGTCCATCTCAGATTCTGATCATGCAGAGACGAAAGGCTGAGGGCTCTCCCGGAGCTCACCTTCCATCTGCGAAAGCCACTGCCGGGACAATTCTTTCCCCAGAGAGAAGGCATCCTCTTGGGCACAGAAGCGAGATAGTCTAACAGTGTCCCAGAGCTCTCCGTACCTCAGTTTCCCGATCTGCGCATGCCATACATGGTGGTCCTACTGCTGGTTTGAAAAGTATGCTGCAAATATGAAGGTGAGCTCCAAACAAAAATTTGAGCAGAGTTTGAACAGTCCAACCTACAGCTGCCTCCTTTATGAATTAATTTCTCTATTGAATCATTTTAAATCCAAAGGGCTCTGCAGATTACCCTTGGGTTAATCCTTTCCCGAAGCAAGAAACTCCAGGATGAAATTAGGTGAAACCCAATCCTTAAATACTTGCCTGAGTGTCTAAAATCGTTATAAGAAGTTCTTTCCTGAGAGTCTTTAAGAAAAGAAATTCAGTTTCCTGAAATAGTTCAGGCTTCACGCAAAGCTGTTACTCAGGAGGGTTAAATTAAACAACCTCTAAAAGTTTTTTCCAACCATGGATTTTTTTGTTTTTAATTCTTTTATGCTTTCCCCCCTCTCTCATTTCAGAGACAATCAGCAAGGCTCCTTGGATAAGGTTATTATATTCAAGTCTTGCCAAAAAATGTAAGAAAAGAAACTCCTGTTTGATGGGATCCAGAGGAACAATTATGCTTTCTAAAAATAAGATGAGCCGAAGCTAAGGAAATGAAAACGTTTCTAAAGAAGAAGGTCAGGACTTCTTTTGTGGCCTCCTTTCATCGCTGGGTTATTCACTGTAATAGTAGCCTGCCATTTCAAACTATGACTCAGGGGCCTGGTCATGGGTTACAGAGCATTTCATCTGTGGTCACCCCACCTGCCCACGAAGAAATTGATGGTTAGCGACTACAGAGCAGGTTACTCACTGAATATTATTCTCCACCGTAACCTCCTGACCCTTGCCTCATCGAAAAGATTGGTGCTATTCTGCTTTTACCTACAGAGAAAGAGCAAGGAGGAGATAAAATAGGACCTTGATATTCAGGGTTGTGGCTCATTTCTGAAGGTCGGACATGAAAAGCTGTTTCGAATTTTGCCCCATTCGTTCTTAAAACTGCAGCCCAGGAATTTATAAGCATAGCTGCCCTTTATCTCTCCCAAGAATGAAATTGCTTTCTCCAATAGAGTTTAAAGGGATGAATTAATTCGTGTTTTTGGCAGGAGTACTCTATAATTGCAAAGAACTCTGAGTATCACCATATAGTTTTTTCCTTAGATGGTCCATTAGGAGGAACTATGGCATTCCCAAAGCTATTCTTTAATTAGGTCAGCAGCATCTGCCAAGAATCCACTCTCCTCTCAGACCAGGTTTAATCACAGTGACAAGTGACTTTCAAGTTTATACCCACACACTCTTAGATTTCGGATTTGCCCTAGAAGAAGGTTCTGATCATAGCGTTCTGAGCGCTGGCCCCTGGGCCTGACTTCCCTGTCTGCCTGGATTTGGGATTTTTGGCCTGCCCTTACCTTGTGACTTGCCCCCCTGGATTGCTGACCCATTCTTGACCTCTGACAACAGCACGCTCCTTAACATCTGTTCTACTTGCATAGAGCCTTGCCTTCCGCCCGATTCTTAATTCTGATTATTAGGCTTCTGGACCAGGCCAATCCTCACAGCCTAGGGAGGACGGAGATGTCCTTAGACTAAAATGGCCAAGACCAGAGCTCATGAATGACAAGGACAAATAACCCAAGGACTCAGTGATCATACAAATGTCCAAATGGGGGGCACATGAATTGCTGTAAGGCCTTAGATTTCACATATTATATATATGAGGTTCATATATTACAGTTAGTTACAGGACACTAATGAGAGACAGACTTTTCAAACCTAGGTCACAGAACACTGAGCATAGCCCTCAAAATGCACCCTGGATCATACAGCAAAAGATACGCAGTCACCGAATTGCTGCTGGGCCAATGTGTCAATCACGCCCCGAGGACAGCAGGCTGGGTGGCCACTTAAGACCTGAACATCAAGAAGCTAGAAGAGGTGTGGAAATTCTGAGAAGGTCTTTATCATTTAGAAACAGAAAGGCATAGTGTGTCAAACTACTTCCATTCCATGGGAAACTGTTATTCTAAATGCTCAAATATGTCGGGGTATTTAAAATGACAAGAGTAGTTTGGACAACAGCAGCGGCTGTGGAAGACCAGAAGGAATGAGGAGGGGAGCGAGGAGCTTGGTCACGGAACCTACTCAGGCACTGATTGGGCAGCTCTCAGTTCCTTTGTAAAAGGTGAGGAAGGTAATTCTAAATCACATTTATAGCCCTTCCAGTTCTGAATGATTCTTTGACCTTGAGATAGAATCACAAGGCTGGAAAGGATCTTAGAAGGTGCTTAAGTCAACCTCTAAACTTTCAGCGACATAGAGCACAGCCTCTCCCTGGCCAGCCCAGGCCCTTTCCAAACAGTTCTTACCAGGGGAAAGTCTTCTTTATCTTGAACTCACACCCTCCAACCTGTATTTTCCAACAAGAAGAAAGAGAGTAGCACCTCCCCTCCCCTACTGTGAGCGTTCTACCTCTGTTAATGCAGCTCACATATGAATTAGCATTTGAAGGACAGTCATATCACATCATTGAATTACGTTGATCTTATAATCTTTTTCACATGTGGGCATTAAGCAACACCTCTAATAGTCTGTGTTGTTTAATTGGGATTTTTATTCCAAGTATAGAACCTTAAAATTTACCCCTGTTGGATTTTGTCTTGTTATTGTTGAAAGATCCTGTAAGAAAAGCCCAAGGCAAAAAGGGATCAGTAATGGACCTTAAGAAAAAGGGAATAAGAAATAGGCCTAGGGGCCGGTCCCATGGCCAAGTGGTTAAGTTCATGCGCTCCGCTTTGGCAGCCCAGGGTTTCTCTGGTTCGGATCCTGGGCGCAGATGTGGCATGGCTCATCAGGCCATGCTGAGGCATCGTTCCACATAGCACAACCAGAGGCACTCACAACTAGAACATTCAACTGTACTGGGGGGCTTTGGGGAGAAGAAGGAAAAAAAAAAGATTGGCAAGAGATGTTAACTCAGGTACCAAACTTTAAAAAAAAAAAAAAGAATCAGGAATGGGCATATCTGGAAGACAGCAGAAAATGGAGCATCGCTTTCAAAATTCTGAGGGAAAATGATTCTCAGCCCCAAATTCTATCTCATATATCAATTAAGTGTAAAGGTAAAATGAAGCTTTTTTAGATATAAACAGTCTCAAAGATTTCCCTCTTACGTATAGTTTCTCAGAAAGCTACTGAAGGATGTACACCATCAAAACAAGGAGTCATCAAAGAGAGAGGAAGATACAAGAAACAGAGAAGTCCCAACTTGAGAGAAAAGCAAAGGATTTCCCTAGAATGACAGTGAAGAGATATCCTGGGAAGACAGCTGTGAAGCAGGCAAGAGAGCAGCCAAGTCAGATTGGAGCAAGTTGGAAAGCCAAGGGAAAGACTTCTTCAACAAGACGAGCATGATAGAATACAGGATGAGGTTGACAGTGTGGAGAGGAGATTTAGACAATTGTGGAGAGTTTCTGGTTGATTGATTATAAGTATAGAGGAACCAAGGAACAACAGCAATTTTTTTAAAAAGACACTTATTGACCTCAGGGAAAATAAAAAGTTGTGCAAGAAAGGGTAAATCATCATAATAAGCTACCCGGTTCATCTGTGACTACTATCCGCACAGTTATAATAATGAAAATATGGAATCGCATTCTACCCAGGATGGGATGGGGGGACAGGAAGTGTGCATAAATATGGTAGTGGTGTGGTGGAGGGCAGTGATGAAAGAGAATTCAATCCTTTTCTTCCATGGTAGGAAGTCAACAAATAATGTCTAAAATGGAAATACGAAGAAGTAACAATATGAGCATGTTATTTAGAGACAGGAAGATAAATACCAAAAGAATAGTATTAAAGATTTGAAAGTTGTTGCCTCCGAGGAAAGAAATAGGATGCAGGGGAAAGCCATATTCTTTGTAACAAGCCTTGTAGAATTATTTGACTTTACATGCACAAAAGTTGTAATAAAAATAAAAACTAATCTGAAACAAGAATGAATAAAAGAAGTAAGTAAGCCATCTAGCCTCGCTAAGAAAATCCTTTGATGATGAGTGAAGAGGGAACAGAACCCATCCAAGACTTCAAAACCAAGTGGGAAAGGGATCAGAAGTGACGTGAAGGAATGAAGACCGCAGTTTGGACAAGTAATTGGATTTGTGGGAAAGAGGAAACGTAGGTCAACCACCACGGGCTGTCAGTTTCACCTTCAGGATGTTTCTTTACTCACTTCTATCCAGCTCCCTTCTAGCTATCCCAGTCAAGGCAATCAGCATCACTCTCCTGGGGGACCACAAGCCTCCAGCTTTAGTCCCTTCCATTCCACTCTCCACGCAGCAGCCAGACAGCCCTTTCTAAAATAGAATTCTGATCATATCACTCTCCTGACAAAATGCATTAATGGCCTTTCATTGTTTATAGCATAAGACCAAGTAATTTGACAGGGACTATATATTTTTGAACGGCCTCTCTGGCTTCATTTCTCCACACCACTAAACTGTATGAAAATGGTCTCTTATCTCCACTTACCTTGCTCTCACTCCACTGAGCCTTCACACTCTTGCCCCTTTCCACCTGCCTAATTCCTACCCATCCTTCAGGACGTGGCTCTGCAAAACATTCCCTGATCCCCTCCAGCACCCCATTACAGCATTTAGCACGCTTATTCCAGTTTCTAGAACTCTCCCACTAGCCAGCAAACTCTACTAAAGCTGAGACAATATCTGTCTTAATTCCTCTATTATTCATGACTCAACTGATTACAAATGCTAGCCCTCCAGTGCAAACCAGCTCACACAAATGGGAATTGATTGGCTCACATGGGTCCAGGCATGGAGTATGTCTCAGCCACAGCTGGAGTCCTCAGCTCTCTTCCTGTATCTTATCAAGGTCTCTCTGAGTGTTGGTCTTATTCTGTCCCACTACAGATGGGCTTTCTCCACTTGGCAAGGACACTGGTTCCCATCCTTTCAACTTTGAGATTCAAAATAAGGAGGCAGTCTTTCCTACTAGCTCCAGAGAATAGTCGGAGGAAAGACTCTGATTCTCCTTGCTTGAGGCAAATGCCAACACCTGAATAAAGGAGCAGAGTCCTCTGGCCAGGCCCGAGTTTTTGTGGCCAAAGGAATTGAGCACTCTGATTGGCCAGGTCTGGATCTGTTACCAGAAGACGGAAGGGACAAGAATGTTCTCAGAACCATACCTGCCACACTCACCTTATGTACTCAGTGCCCAGTAGACACACAGTAGATGTTCAATGAATATTTGTTAAATAGATACACTTATGTTCTGGGTGCATGATGCTGTATCTGTTCTGTTTTCTGGGGATAATTTAGTAAAAGCATGTGATTTCTATAGCTAATTAGTTGGAAGAAAATGATGATAATAGTAGCAAACACTTACCTAACTCTTTTTATGCACCAGGCACTGTTCTAAGAGCTTTATGTATATTAACTTACTTAATCTTCAAAAAAAAAAACCCTATATGCTGTAGATAGTATTATTAATGTTGCTGAAATTGGGATGATATCTAAATCAACCAGTCTGGGGGAATCAGCAACAACAATAGATACTCCTTGGTAATTCAGAGGTTGTAGAGGTTGGCAGAGCAGACAACTGTTGACGCCAAGATTAAGTCCTACAAAGAACTAGACTGTCTTTGTCCAGAAGAGGCTGCAGGCCTCTTGAGTGACCAGCCTCTCCTGGAGAAGGGGCCAATAACTGCTAAGACCATGGCTGTGTCATACCAGGAGCTTGCCTCCTAGGAACTATGTCCCTGTCACACACACAGGGCTTCCTTGAAGAACTATATTCTTATTGCACCCCTTTCTTCCCTGTCTTGACAAACATTTTGCTCTAGATTACAGAAGAGCTGCAAACAAGCCCCTCTCCATCCTTCTAACCAAGGTCACAGAAAAGGGAGACACAGGCAGACAAACAGAGAGAGATTGAAATGGATAGTGAATGGGAATGAAACAATTACATTCAATTTTTCATTATGATTAATAGATACCACTTAAAACTATTCATTCATTCAACAAATATTTATTCAGTTTCCACCATGTGCAGGCACTGTAATAGGCAGTGGTGAAATAACAATGCCAAGGCAGTCCCTACGCTCAGTAAGCCCAACCTGTGGGCAGTCTGTCTACTTCATTGTGTACTTCTTCAGAATACGGCCCTTACAAACGGGGACAAGGAGATGGGTGCAGGATAGGATGTCAAAACAGCCAGAGTATTCTTCTGGGCAACACGCCTCCACTGAACTTTGCTCCAGGCAGCTCACACTGTGTATCCTGTAGCCTTTTGACCTTTTCCATGGAGCAGCTTGATCCCTAATCAAATGGCCAGTGATAACATAGATCAGAAAATTGAAACTCAACAAGTTAGGATCGAGGACAAAAGAACCCGACCTCAAGAGACACTAGTTCCAAGAATATTTAGGGGATTCTTGATCATGTTAAGGGGTAGTGAAATGGTTCCTGAAAAGAAGGAGAAAAAATAAAGAAAAAGTAAGAGCCTAAAACCAATAGTCAGTGGGGAAACTAACGATTTCAGTAATAAGCCTAGAAACAAATCTTTTATTGGTTTTAATGCCACAGCCCTTGGCTTACCCCAAATAAAATGATGACGTGTTCCTGTGGATTCCTTGGAGAGTTCATCCTTGTACCATAATTAGGTTTTTAAAATTCGTTTGCTTGTGTGTTGTTTAGAACTCCTTATTCCAAAAGAGATTTAAGGTCGCATGCTGCTATAATATTTTCAGAGAGAAATTGAACAATCTGTGAGGTTTTCTTTACTTCTTATAAAAAGGGATTTCTACTGACTGGAGAAAAAAATTTTCCGAGTGAGAAAGGCGTACAATATGCTGGTGTGCTAAAATAACATTAAGAAATTCTCTGTGTCAAAAGAATGACATCCAAAGTATGCCTTTTAGATCCAACATTTTGCAGAGGAAAGAGTGCTATGCACTACGTAAATACTTAGAGGAAGTTAGATTATTTTTTTAAGATACAGAGATAAAGGTGATACTGTCAGAGATACCGTTGTGGTGTAATGACGGGGCAAGCTTTGTGACAGAAACCCTTTATTGCAAGTGTTTAAAATGTGGTTATAAAAGAATGCACTAATAGTGAATGCCTGACCAGCAATCAACTCTAGTTAATTTTTCACTAGGAAAGAAAAGGTAATTCTTTTTCTAGCCTGTTAAATATATTGATGGCTTTTCAGCAGAACTTTATTATTGTGAATCTCTTTCACTTGAAAAGTTTATTTCTGACATTTGTCACCTCAGCTCTTTAGGGAGATCATTATACTAATGGATTCTTAAGCTTGTTTTATAGGAAATGAAAGCCTAGGAGGATTAAGCCATCTTTCCTTGGTCATTGCTATGGGGACAGGCTGGGAACCATGTCCTTGGATGTTAGTAGCCCTTTGCTGCCATCTCCAATTTTGACCTTCGATGACATTTCAGAAGGCCTAGGAAGTGTCTAAATGTAAACGGGAAGAAAAATAACTTCAGTTTTCGCATTCCCAAGCCTATAGCAGGTCTTCCTGGATCCCAGAAATCTCCATTTCAATTTTCAACATTTCAGTTTCGTTCAAAGATAATGTTGCAGACATTTCTTCTAACCACGAGTATGAGTAAGGTTTAATGAATAATGAGCAATCCCCCACCAACTTGTACAGGTGGAAATGGACCTGAAGGTCATTCATCCATTCCATGAATATTTATAGAGCAGCAACTGAATGTCGGCATAACAAAGTCCCAGCTCTTAAGGATCCCTCAGGCCA